ATGGTGGCCGGTTGTCGCAAGTCGCGAACAACTTGTATTCCCCAGTCGAGCCAGTTCGGCCCAACACGTCCACTTTCCACATCAATGCTCCGAAACATGGACACATGTGAATGTGATCGATGTCCAGTCAAAGTGAGAATGAAATGGTGTTGATGATCTTGTCGTGAGTACATCATTTCCGGTTGAAAGGATTGGCTGTTGAGTTGCTGCTCCCCAACATTCCTTCGAAATGACTCCCATTGGAAGACGGATGTCGTGGTCCAGCTCCCTTCTCCGCGGCGTTGAACGTCCGGGCCGGCCCCAAGTCGGCAGGAACCCGAGCCCACTGCCACTGGCACCGTACCGAGCTGACTATCCTCACCTGCAGGCACGAGACATGAAGGGTTCCGTCGGCAGCGACCTTGACCTCGCATTCATATCTGGTGAGGAGATACGATCATGCAAATTGCCTGCCGCCAGCCGTGTCTTCATACGTATCGGTCTTCTCCCCACGAGGATTTATCGACATGTGGTCAGCGACATGTTGCCAGATTTTGGAATGTCCAGTAGGTTGCAGGCAAAGGTGACCCTCCATCCGCGCAAAAGACGGCAAAGGACGTGGGATGGACTCTAGCGGAAAAGGGAAGCTTCCGTGACAGATGTCGCAGTGGGCGCGTGTGATTCATGCCCTTTGCTCTCTGTGGCTAGACTGGTAGGAAGACCGTCAAGGCGCCGGGCAGGGCATCGCCAGCCGGGTGCCATGCGACGACAAGAGCTGTGAGGGAAACTGATGGTGTCTTCTTGGCCTGGCTGGGTGTTCCTGCGGTTGAGTGGAGCTCAAAGTTCCGAGTCCCTGCGAGTGCACAGAGCAGCAGCAGCGAGTCACTGTCACTGTAGAGGACGCCACTGCAGCGAACAGAAGGCAGCGGCAGCGGAAGGAACGATTGTGGGTGATGGTGAACGCACGCCCGAGAGCGGACGAGTGCGTGCGGGCAGAGTGGAGCCCGCCAAGAGCTCATCGAGTTTTTTTAGCGTTTGGTTCATCTGACTGTTTCTCTGAGAGGAAGTGAAAGAACATGATTATCCGTGGACATGATCCTTGACAAGAGGTGTCCATATGCAGTGGTCCTGGAGGATGGCGAGGGACAAAGAAAGCTGGACGGGATAGGACAGAAAGGAGGAAATTGCTGGGCATGAAGCTGAAAGATGGAAGGAAAGTGATAGAGCATCGGGTCCACCCAGTTCTCCGAGAAATCGTCCAAGGGAAGGAACGCAAGAGTCGTCAGCTTCCCCAACCACAGTTATTTTAGTCATCATGAACAAGAGAGGGAGGTGCCTTCCCAAAATCCGAGAGCTAACAAAAGCACAAGGCAAGGGGCCTTGGGGGTACCTTTGAGATACTTTTGGATATTTGCCTCTGACCAGTAGCCTGATATGAAACCCATGTTTAACCCACGCGCGAGGTAACGTTGGGGACGGGGGCGGGGGAGAGGCAGAGGTCTCTTGCGAGTCTCTTCCTAGTGTTGAGACGGACTCACAAGTGCGCGGTTCCCTGTCGAGCGATGTCTGGCCTCTGCTCAAATCGTTCGGCGTCTGCTGCTGGCTGGCCAAGAAACATGAGCGCCGCAGGAGGCACGCTTTGGAGCATTGGAGAGGCTCCAGTCTGATCCAGCAGCAAGCGGGCAGCCGTGGCCCAGCCGTCCACTCATCCTACTTGTTCCGTGCTTTCCGCCCCTCTTTCTCTTTCTTTCCCCTTCTCTCCAGCATCGCTCCTTGAATCATATCACCAGCACAGGGTACGCTCGCTCCTCTTGTTTCTTTTCTTGGTGTTGAAGTTGGTGAAAGTCGAGTTGAAGAAGAAGTTGAAGTTGAAAGAAGTTTTGTCGCAGGTTGTCAGAGAGTTTCCGAGTTCTTGTTTGGGTATCTGTCTTCTTTTATCAAAGGTCAGTCAAGCTGCTTCTCTCTTCCATCCGATCTTGTCTGTCGCGGCGGCGCGCTGTGATGCCCCCAAGTTGCCGCCATCGAGTCCATTTGCCCTGCCCCAGGTCCAGTATCTATCTGTATGCCCTCGCGCTCCTTCGTGGTTTTGCCGGGTCGAACACGTTGACGACAACGACGACGATCACGACGACGATAACGACAACATCGACAAAACAACAAAAGACACGAAATCCAGTCGACGCAAACGTACCAAGCTGGTTTCGCTCTGGTTGTTTGTTGTCGCAAGCCATGCGCGCACCTGTTCTACATACCAAACCGACGGTCCAACCCCACTTTGCCGCGCATTATCGCATCATCGGCTAGCACCATTTTATCGAGTATGACTGCGCCTTGAAGGTTGAACCTTTCGTTGCCTTCACGCGCCATCACAACCAATATCGAGCCTGGCAACATGTTACGCACAAGTTCAATCGGAGTTGCGAACGAGCGTCGTCGGTCTGAGAGAAGTTGGCGCTGCAGTTTTGGATCGTCACGAGTAGCTGTCATGGCTACCTCGGCTGTTTGTGGCATCAATTCAGCGCATTCAACCTCCCGGGCGTCGAATCGGCAACCGTACCGCGACGGGCGGCGGTGCGACCTCCATTCGACCTTTCGCGTGCACTGATTACCATACCGGGTTGGACTTGAGCCCTCGGCTTCTTCCTGCGAGACCTATGTACAACGATAAGGGCTGGGCGCGGGGCACAGCAACCGGGCCAACGAGCGGCAACCTGTCAAGATGGCGTCGCAGGACAACTACACCAAGTCAGATCTTCTCTAACATGCCACTTTCGCAGACTCTTTATATATACACCTTTGATCACAATGTCTTCCCTCTCTCGTCGCGCGTGCTACAAGTGTGGTGAGCTCGGCCACCACGCTGAGGCCTGCTCTTCCCCTCACAGACTCTGCTACAACTGTAAGTTATACGACTTCTCTTCCCGTTCCGTCTTCTGGACACGTAACTAACACTGTGACACAGGCAAGCAGCCCAGTATGTTTCTTTGCCCCCTGATTGGCAGCCCTATATCGATGTTCTAACCTCGACCGACAGACCACGAGTCCAGCGAATGCCCTCTTCCTCGCAGCACCGAGGCCAAGCAGTGCTACCACTGCCAGGGCCTCGGCCACGTTCAGGCTGACTGCCCTACTCTCCGCATCAGCGGTGCCGGTTCTACTAGCCGCTGCTACAACTGCGGCCAGCCCGGTCACTATATGGTACGAACTGCTTCAGCTCCGATGATCTGTATGCTTGTCTGACGCTTTTGTTTTCATAGCGCGCCTGCCCCAACCCTCCCAACGGCATTCCCCGTGGTGCCCCCGTTGGCCGTGGCGGCTTCGGCGGCTTCGGCCGTGGTGGCTTCGCTGGCGGTGCTCGCCCCGCTACCTGCTACAAGTGCGGTGGCCCTAACCACTTTGCTCGCGATTGCCAGGCTCAGGCCATGAAGTGCTACGCTTGCGGCAAGCTCGGCCACATCTCCCGCGATTGCACCGCTCCCAACGGCGGCCCCCTCAACACTGCCGGCAAGACTTGCTACCAGTGCAGCGAGACCGGCCACATCTCGCGTGACTGCCCCAACAAGCCCCACACCAATGGCGAGATCAAGCAGGATGACCTGAACGCTGGCCACGGCGGCCCCGGTCTCGCTGCTGCTCCCGTTGCCCCTGTTGCCCCTGTTGCTTAGAAAGCCAGTTGGGTCGGCAGTATGAGCAACAATGATGACAGTTGAGCTAGAACGAGCAGAGTCTAGCTTGGCCATCATTACCACCACCTTGTTTTTATTCCCTTCTTAATACGCTTATGTATGCCTTTACGAACGAATGCAGCGGTCAAAATCTCGGCGTCCACGGTTCTCGATATATACACCATCGGCTTCATGCTCTTTCAGCACAGAAACACGACGGCACGGAAAACAAAACTTTTCAAAATTGGAACGTTTCCTCCACTTTTATGTCAGCTCACGTAGGCACTTCACGGCACGGTTTTAACCTCTCACTTGGACAGCTTCATGATACCCCGAAATTGACGAAGCGGTGTGGGTCGACTAGATCAGGCCACTGCGGAGGATGATCTCGTCGTCAGCAGGTTGTTGGAAGGTGGCCCATGTTTTGGAGGGGCGAAGGGCTGGCCCGTTGGAGGTCCTGTTGGTGGAAACGGCCAGCTCGGAGATGATCAAAAAAGAAGAGAGCAGAAGAGCTTGAGGATGGAAGGCAGCAGATTCAAATGCGAAAGCCCGATGTGTGTGTGTTATCTTGGGTTACTCAGGGGCTTAGGCGAAGAGATGTCAAATCTAGACGTTATCAAACTCTTTGGCGCTGATCGTGTTGTTTGAGTCTGTATGGTGTGTGATGATGAAGGTACAGAATGTCGAAACGTTCGCTGAGGATGGTTATCTGAGGCGGAAACGGTTATATGTAAAAGAGGGGAACTCGTGGGTAGCGGAGGAGCCTATGAGGTCAAGTTTGACATGCGTTGGATTTGTCAGGTACAGTGACGCTGTCGTCGGGCGTTGTAGGTGGTGAGCAGTTCAACAGGTCACATCACGATCCATGGATTTAGAAGAAGGGAGTAGACGCCGAGTACAAGTTATAGAAGAAGACCTCGGTTGACTCAGGCTTTCAAGGCAGTGCACTTGCACTTCCAGAAACTACCAGCTCTTAGTTGGATACATTTGTTTGTCGGGAATCAAGCACACCAGTTCTTCTACTCAATCTCGCACTTCTTCAAAGCAATAAGCGTAACCACACCATCAATAACCATGGACTTGCACCACGATTGAAGGAGTTATATTGTGAGCTCTCTAAAGTACGGAGATTCTAAACGATTGGATTAATCTTTCATTGTCGTCTATTGTCATTTCCTGTATCACTTGTAGAACGCCTTCCAATCGAATTGTTGTTCCCTCCAAGGAAAAAAAAGCCTTCAAAGGGCAAAAAAGAAAAAGATGAGAAAAGTCTCTCTAACCCATTTGATAATCGCGAACTCTTCTTATGGCAAGATCAGTTGGGCAAAAATGCAAAAAAGAAACGTATTTACTGAATGCCCCCACGCGGGATTGAACCGCGGACCTCATCATATCGCAAATTTGGAATACGAGTGATGCGCTCTACCACTGAGCTATACGGGCTTCGTTATATAAGAGCGCTAAATCATGTACCTAAGTACACCAAATGTTGTACGTTCCAGGTGCGGGTTACAGTGGTTGGGTGTCCGGCAGGCAATGGAGACAGCAACGTCACCTCCTTCCGACGACGACAACATCAATTCATTTCTCGACATCGCGATCGTTACTTCCACTCTGCGCTTCCCAATTCACTCTTGACTTCCCGTAAACCGGAATCATCTCAATTCGATTCTTATATTTTCCCAATCCCATATTCTGCACCAACGTATTCCGTTCTACCTGCGGTGCCATCACCCAGACCGGCATGCACCATACGTCCTGCCGAGATCGTGGAGGGACTGCCTAAAGCGGGCAGTTGCGATAGTTGCTTTAGATTCTCTTCGGTTTTTTACTCCGAATTTACGGTAGGGGAGGAACGAGTGCAGAGTCTGAAGGTGTCGATTGAGTATGCCATGGCTGGTTGGAATGGTAGGAGCGATTGTGACGCCGTCACGGAGGGAAATTCGGCTGTCCATTTTGCCTGTTCCTGTCTACTTCCTTGACTTCTCTCGCTCTCTTTTTCTTTCACCATGATTAATTTACGAACCACTTTCTCTGTTTTCTTATCTCCTTTCACGCGAACGCTTTCCAGGTTGTCCCGTCCCCTTGCGAGCAACATCTGTCACTGTCCTTCGATTTTTCTGCTTCAATGTTCTTGTTCCCCTCTCACATCTGCCCTTCCCCTCGAAAATGGAGATTTGTTTCCCCCTTTCCCAGAAATCTGAAGGTTATCAGTTGGGATCATAACTCTTGATATCCTCTATGCAAGTACCGAGAGGAACGAAACGAACTCGTGGGATCATCAGTGATGAAATATCAAGGGAAGCGAACAAGACGCAAGCTGTTTACCATTTGGTTCTATACAACCCAGCTGGTTGCCATGGGATGAACAAGTAGTAAGGAGAAATGCACTTACTTCCGTTTAAGATTTCCAGTCTTTTGTCAGAGCCCGTGGGCGCCATTGGTCTTCAGCTTCCGGATCCGGGATTCCCTAAGAAGAACTCAAGCCTCCGACTCAAAACAACCGCGCAGAAGCCATGTTGTCGAGGCCGATACCCTGTTTAACAACAGATACATGCAAGGCAATGGCAGATTCTCGGGAAGTATCAAGCGATTCCCTACGGAATCATACCGTTCTATTGCTCCTGAGTTTCTTTGTTCCACCACTGGACTAGTATGTTCCTGCCTGATATGGGAGGTTGAACCAAGATATGTGTACCGTCAAATTTTCAGACGAACAACTTAGTTTCTAGCCTCAATCACGGGTAGGTAGGCAGTGTCACCCGCAGATTGCAAGAGGAAGTCCTCGTGGATAGTCCTTCCTCCCGTTCTTCCCCTACTCGCCAACGATGGCGCCTTCTATGTCGCTCTTTCTGTTTGCCTCGCGGTATCGATTTCAGGCTCGCGCGCTCGAGTCGGTAACTTATATGACTGCCCTCACCCTTTCTCTCCAACGATCGGCAGTTCGACACGACAAGCAGCAAATTTCTCTCCGGTATTTTCAAGTGTCATCAATCTCATCAGTACCACACACCATCCGAGCTCGTTAGAAATACTACAACCACGTTATGGAGTTTAGATCAGGCATGTACGACTATGATCGCCCGCGGTTTAGGTCCAGCCTCTTTTTGCGACGACCGAGTTTTCGGCGGCAAAGTCCTCCACCGCCATATTCATCGGACCCGGAACCAGAGGACGAACAGGACCCTGCCCAAACAGTGACCACTTCCTCGCCCCCCTCGCGGACAACAGACAGTCAACCGCAGAACATCGTCGACGCGGACGACGCTACAATCTCCCATCCAGATACCATACCCGTCCCTACCCCTCCTGAAACTCCCCGCCCAGACATACCTGTCCTTCCTGAAGGCGAGGTGGTGGCAACCGTGGGATCAGTCAAGATCAGAGGCACCCCTGCCGCGGTGTCACAGGCTGCGGAAAGCCTTTCTAAAGTGGCTTCTACGCCCATCAGGGTGAAGAAGCAGGAGGATGTTAGGGATGAGACTTTGAAGGCCGCCGTGGGAAGAATAGTAGCAAATATAGGATACCATGGCTCATGGTACCTTACTTGGCTTGCGGGAACCTGGTTGGGTGCTGGGATCTGGTTTCCGGCATTGGTGATCTTCTGTCGCGAGATTGAATTTTGGCAAAGTCAGCAAAGCAACTTGGACCGGGAGGTTTGGTTCAGGCTGTTTTCGTATGCTTTGGGCTGTGGCCTGCTTTTGATGGGTATTCCAGGATGGTGAAGCCGGTCTTCTTCAATCTTAAGACAGACCATGCTCTCCTTGGTTGACAGGTTGATTTTCTGAGCATCACGTAAGTAGACCACTTGATATCACTAGTGTCTGAGAGATAGGAACTAACATGGAATGGACCAGCATTAGAAGTTCTCGTCCAATGTCACGCAGCATCCATTATCATTTTCAAATTTCAATACTCAACAGTGCTTCGCTTCCCGAGCCTCAAATTATGTTACAACAACGCCCACTACTCGAAAACCCGATCAATCTTCAACGTCCCGCCCTTCCCATCCAGACTGCCCTCCTCTACACTCAACCTAACCTTGACATTCCTGCTCTCCCTCTTCTTCGCCTCCAAACTCCTCAAATCTTCAAACCGCTCCCTAGCATCCTCATCCAAACCATGGAACAACATCGCCAAAGCGCTCGTCTTCCACAAACTCGCCCCGCTCCTCTTCGTCTCCCAAGCCGCCACTCCCAAGAAGCACGCCGCAAGAATGACTGCCGTCACCGGCAACGCCACGAATCCCCACCGGACTGAAACGAAGGTCTCATAGCTCAAGGATGTCCCGTTGATAGGCACAGCCGTCAACGTCCTAAAAGTGGACGTCAAAGACACAGCAAGGTCAGAGATCAACATCTCCAACCCCAAAGGCGGTTCAGAAGCCGGCGCTGACGGAGGAGAGGGATATTCGTAGTAGTTCCAGTAAAAAGCCTGGACGATATCCGTGTCGAAGAAGGTTTCTCCGGAGGATATACCCACGGTCAAGTTGACCGCTACGTAAGGGGACGAGTTGAGCGAGGGCAGATCGGAGATGGTCTTGTTGATGTATTGAGAGTTGCGAGAGGCGGTGCCGTTGGCAAAGAGGCGGGAGAACCAGGACTGCATTGCGAGGATCGATTCCATCGACATGGAGTAGACAAGACTGGAGTTGGTGGGGGATTGGATGGTTAGTGGCTCCAGGCCGTTGATGCTGGACGAGAGGGAGGACGAAGAGGGGATGGTATCGTTGGTGATGGGCGGAGAGACGTGTGATTCATGAAGAAAACCATTGGTGATGTTGCTCTCCAGAGTCTGCAGACAGACGGACAATGTGCACTGGGTTGCCCAAGGTGACAAGACTCCCGGGCCAGTGGCGTTAGTTTCGGTGCCCATGAAGATGAGTTTCATGATGGTGCTGTATGTCGCGTCGCCCGTGCTGGACCCCGGAAAGAGAGAAGTCATCCCGAATACCTCAGCCGAGGAGTTCAACTTTGCTCCCGAGGGCAGTTGCCAGCCGCAGTCATCCGTCTTGTCCACTCCCTCTGGACAATACCTCGTCAAGTATTCGCTCATATCCACACATTTGTGACAAACCCCCAACGTCTCAATAGGCGGGAATGTGCAGTTTCCCGTCGAGCACTGAAACGGCAATCCCATCCACGGCCGTCCATCCTCCGCAAAGAGGCCCTTATACACAGCCGACTTGATAGGCAAGATAGGCACAAACACCTGGCCCAGTTCTTCCTTTCCATGCAACGCCAAACCATACGTTTCCGTTCGGTAGTTCACCGCTCCGCCCGGAGTCTCAACCATTCTCGTCGGGAAACTCGCAATCTGCTGCGCGAACGGACTCAAGAATAACGCAACGATCATCACCACCGCACCGAAACTACCCGCGAACCCGCCCCTTCTCGCTACCAACATGTTCACGGCACCGAAAGCTCCTCTGCTCGCATCATCATAAATCTCCATATCGCTGAGGGGGGCACGACCTTGCTTGAACCGGATCCATTTCAACTGTCCCAGCCCGCCAGATAAAGGGACGCTCATGCTTGCCGTTGCTACCGTAGCCAAAATGGCGATTACGGCGTTCAAAGTGATCCAGTGCGGCCATGACGGTAGTGGTTTGCCGTCGTAGGTAGCTAGGACGGCGATGATGGAAGCGACCGCCCCAAGGGCGACAAGCATGGAGATGGTTTCGTAGGTCCAGGTGCCGTTTTTGGAGAAGATGGCGGACAGCTTGGAGTCGGATTTGAGAGAGCTGTTGTTGCTCATTGTGGACTGGCGGTTGGCGGCACGCTGTTGTTGCTTTTCCCAGGAGGCGGGGGAGGCGGACATGGGAGAGACGGAGAAGGTGGCGGGTTGTTTTGTGAGGTTGGGATGGTGCATGCCACCGATATCACCATCTGGGGTGGTGAGGTATTGTTGACCGTTTTGGTCGAGATGGATTTGTTGGACTTGAGGGTTTTGGTAGTCCAGTCCGTTGGGATGGTATTGATAGTCATAGTATTGTTGTTGGACTGGATGTATTTGGTCTGGTTGTTGAGGGATGGGAGAGCCAGCATTGGTTGGGAGGTTGTTGATGTCGACGTACTGGAAGGTTTGGGAGTTGTGGTTATTGTTTTGGCTGTTGTCGTTGACATCTTGAGATTCAATGCCTGCTGTGAGAGGAGTCAAGCTGTCTGCGCTTATCACGCGCTCATGGCGAACTGGGTGATAACCGGACGCCATGATGTGCGAGTGTCGCTGTTACCTTTAGTAGAGGAGGAGGAGGGGAAAAGAGGGAAGAAAGTTTATGAGGTACAGCACTTGGTAACCTCGTGGGACAGGACTGTCACTATCAAACAACTGATGCCTATGAATAGGTCAACCCGACGATCTAGTACCCAGTATTCAAGGAGAAAAAGAAACATCCAAGAGAACTCCGAGGAGGAGCAGGTCAACCCACACTTTTTGTATCC